GCTTTTTATATATAATTATTCCCAGTGTGTATACATACTGTATACCAATTATACATCGAAACAAAAATCGGTAATGTGAATATGCATTGTTTGCACAGATGCACGCATATCTTGGGCAATTACTGAAGACGCATCAGGATACAACAAATAATTAAATAAAGAGACGAATAAGAGCCAGGATCGGAATGCGTTTTTAAAAAACTGTATTTGATAACGAAATGCAGCAGACACACGCGCGAAGAAGATGAAAGTTGTAAATCGGTATACATTGCCAACAACAAGCTACGCATCAGAAACATGGAACACATTTAAAGCGATAATTCAGTACAGAGCCATAGCCCGTGCAGTGGCGTACAAAGCACTACTTGGCATTGCACGAAGGGGCAGAGAGTCCAAGGAAGTCCACGAAGATCGGGGAGACATCGTCGAGTGAGTGTGGGCAAGCTGGCGGCCGGAGACGGAGCGGTGAAATGAGCTCACGTGGGGATTGCGGGATCGCGGACAGAAGCGACGACGCGGAGAGGTCTGTCATCCAGCAGTGGATGGAGAACAACTTTTTAAACGCTGTGCCATAGTACAGTTGTATTATATATATGTTATGAAGACACCTGCGTTTAAGAAGAAGACTTTGTTCTTATGCATTGGTTGCGTAATCGTAAAAGCTTAATTGCGTTCACAGGGCCACGAGGGGTGCGTCGGTGGATCTTCTTGCATCGCACTTTGTGACATCAACATCATTAGCAGCCATGGACAATCCACTGCTGGATCAAAACGCCTTTCCAAGCCGCCGTCGCCACTTGTCAGGACTTGTCACGATGTAATAATCCACCCAGCACCTGCACCGCACTGTGAACCGATGATAGCACGGTTGGATGCGTACGGTGAGAAATTATTTCAACACACATACACACGTGTGTGTGTCGACACACACACGTGTGTATGTGTCGACACACACACACACGTCGCTCACATCTCCTCGGTCCACGTGCTCACGGACTCGTCGCCAGTCCACGTCTGGCTAACGTCAATTTTCTTCTCCGTCTGCCATCATCCCATCGAAGTCGTGACGTGTCCTGCCCTAAGCGCCACTTATTTGTCTTAGCACTCTTGGACGACGGTGGTAGTGCTGGCATACCTTAATGCGTACGTGGAATGTGCTCGTTTCTGACCGGAAGAAAGGAGAGAGGGTGGTGGTGGTGGGGGGAGAGGTCATTGAGACGCAAGTTACGATTGCGCAGGGGAACTCGCGTGCGAAACGGACACGTGATCATTACAGACACGTGTTCTCAGTTGCGTTAAAAACGACCAAAATCATGAACACAACATTAGCCGCACAAAGGAAAACACTTGTAAAAACAACATTTCTTGGCACAATGAATTCACAATGTTCTCCATAATTAAGGTTTTTTGGGTTAGATCGCGTAAATATAAATGTGTTGTTAAACCCGCAACCACCCGACACAGCCAATTAGTAAGGTTTGTCACGTAAACAGAACGTGCCAATTCGTTACTAGTTCAGCACACCGGTGTGTTGGAGAGTAAACCCACAACATTTACAATTCGGGTACGACGTTTTGCCGGTAACTACAACCAGCATCATCAGGCGAGAGCCAGAGTTATCAATAATATTGGCCGCGAAATCCCACGTGTTAAACATTCACATTATTCGATTGACCAATACGCGTCTATAGTTGGATATTCATCATCATGATCATCGCTATTGTGATATGCATGACTAGTGCCGGTTTATGGCTCATCAACCCTCAATAAGATGGCCTGGATTTTGCCCGGGTAATTCTGGTCACCTTTCAATTCTACTGCTGTTTACACGCGGCGTAGCACAGTGCATGAGCATATGCGTTGATTGGTGTAAACCCTTACCTCTCCGTAAACACTGTCGTAAATATATCTCCAACCATCATCTTCGTGAACAACCGTGATCTATCCACTGCTTGATGAAAGCCTCCCGAAGCCTGTGTCATCTGTCGCAGTTTCACGATGCATCAATTAATATAGCACCTACACACGACCTGAATGCATCATTCCGTATATGAATATGAGTATATATATGTGATGCATTCATCTGTGCGTGACTCTTTGTAATATAAAACGTAATGCTAAATTTACCCAAGAAAGCTTCGCTGGCTCTCAACACTTCATGATGTGTTCACGTTTGGAAGTTTGATCAATTCTATGAATGAGCGAATGGCTTCGTGCGCGAGAAACCGGAGTACGCGGAGAAAGTCCGCCGGACGTACGAGTAGGTGACACTCAGCGCTTTCCATCTTGTGGCCCATACCTCTGCAGCCCCCCCCCCACGTACTACAGCACCTGGCAAGCCGCGGTGATGATCACCCACCCGGGGTAGGCTACGAAGTCCCCGCTCTGAGCCACCGATATCCGACACGGTTAGGGGCGCGTTCGGGGTGATGCGGTCGTACAGTCAATGGGAAGGAAGGGGCCGCGTTGTTATGGCCACGCAGCGGCACGAAAATTGAGAGATCGTGGAGATTTATTCCATCGTGGTCCAGAAACGCGGCGCTCGCGCGGCCGTGTGATTTACGCAGCCGCTCTCCGTGTCACTCATCTGCACTTAGCCGTGAATGTTGGCGCTTTAAAAGCCGTCAATCTGACTGCAGACAACAGAGTAAAGAAAGCGATTTCGTGTTCGGAACGAGAGACAAAGGAGAGAGAGAGAGAGTGGAGGGAGAGAGAGAGTGGAAGACGGGGAATGTGAATGTCATCCATTTGATGATGGTTATAATCAAGGTTTGAGTTCAGCCAGAGCTGTCCGGGGCCGAGCTCCGGAACATATATAATTTATATATTGTGAATTATTTATTATATTAACGATCTTCAAAGTAATGTAACAACGGCCGCGTCTTAGGTGAGGACGACAGCTGCGAGGCGTTCTGGTCAAATCGCGTTCTAAGTTAAAATGGTCTGACGTTTAGAGTTTACACGAATGCGGATATTTACTCTTGCCTTCAAGTTCTGGGTTAGGTTTAACATTGACTTAATTCTGAGTTAGGTTTAACATTGACTTTAAATTCAGGGTTAGGTTTAACATTGACTTCCAAGTTCTGGGTTAGGTTTAACATTGCCTCTCAAGTTCTGAGACACTGGCTAAAAAAGTGTGAAACTTATCCTTGGCTTTGATTTTCAGGGTTCAGTCGGCCGTGATGAGTGAGTTGATGGCCTCAGTCCGTTCACAAATCACCGCAGCCATAATAACCTCTCCTCTCTGCGTTACGTCAGCAAGCTCTGTCACTTAGCATTAGCTAGGCCATACGCCGGGCTTTAAAATCTCACATGTCTGCACGTACAATACACCAAATTAATATATCTGTAAAGATATACGCATGCTGTAAATATGTGTGTGTGTACGTGCAATGGGACAAAATGTGCGTGGCGTGCATTTGTTGAGTCTACTCGCCCTTTGGAGGCAAATGTTGGTAGGAATGACTAAGTTGATCTTACAACTTCTACCCGCCAGTAGATGGCAGTACAGCAAGTAGGATCCTCAAAGTTGCCTTCTGTTTTCGCGAAAGCGTTTGAGCGTTACCCCCCGCTCCGTGTGTGCGTGCCCGCTTGGGGGTTTCTCCCGAACTCGTCTGATCTCGGAAGATAAGCGGCCGATGAGCCTGGACACTGCTTGGACGGGTGACCGCCCTGCATGCCAGGGTGTCATAGGCGACTTGGCTGCAGAGGGCAATGCCACACAATCCATTGCTCTGCCGCGCTTCATCATCAAGCAGTGGATTGGCAAATGGACTTTACATTATACGGGGGGTGATCCATTTATAGACACCCTACTGATTTCGAATAACCCCTTCATTACTTTCTTCCCGACAGGTGATTACGTGTTGTGAAGACGATGGCTCCATGTCTTACACAGAGGGGAGTGTTAAAACATTTAATAAGTGCATTGAGATTGGTGGGAGACGCGTGGACACTTTGAAATAAAATGCCATCTTCTCTTCGTCTCTTATTGTTTGAGTGGAGTATCTGTACACGGATCATTCAGCGTGTGTCATGCAGTTCGAAACGTGGCCCACTCCCTGCACGTTAAAGAAACCCATCTCCATTAAAAAGAGTTTGATGGGGGGGGGGGGGGGGCTCATTGGTGGAAACAAGTCAATTAAAAAAGGGGGTGGATAATGGGTCGCCTCGCCTAAATCTCGGAGCGCATCGGACCCCTTGGCTTCGCCATTCTGCGCGTGCCAACCGAGGCATCATACCCAGCGAGGACACCATACCGCCAAGACAAAGATGCCCCCCGTACGGTTTGTACCGAGTGTTGTGGAGCGGTGGGAAGGTGCAAGTCAGCGAGCACCTATTAAGGCCGGTACGTCGACGCACGAACGACGCGATGTGTGGTCCGACACCACACCGGACCGCCTTTGTCTCCCCGGTTTGCCGATGTTCACGCAACGCAACAGGTACGCCATTCGAGGCCCCGAGCCACCCTCGGATGCTGGACCGGTGCCGCGAATCGAACTCAGCCCACCGTCGGGTTCGTAGCGCGCGCAACGCCGTTCACCGCTGCGCCACCGCTCCCCGCACTCGGCGCGCATGGCACGCACGAGGCCGCGCGGCCGCGCGCTACGCAGCCGCGTCTGGAGCGGCGCGCGCGGCTGCGCGGACAAAGCGCGCGGCTGCGCGTTGTGGCTCCACTCGCAGAGCGGCGCGTTGTGGCTGCTCTGTCTGCGAGCGAGCGTGCGCGCGCGACGTTCGATTTGGGTGCAACAAAAAAATCTTGACGCGGGCGAATGAGTAGGTAAAAACGCAGGATTTGATGATCCCTGCCTGCTCTCTCTCTCTCTCTATACACTTCTTGTCTCGCGGCTCTTGCTCCCCCCACCACTCTCCTCCTCCCTCCCTTCCTCCCTCCCCCATTCTATCCATTCACCTCCTACCCACCGCCCCTCCCCATCGCCACTCTCCCCTCCCCATCGCCACCCTCAACCCTTCCCAGCCCGTCCTCTCGGGGGCCCAGCCCCATACGACGCCGATCCATTGGCAGACCGCGAGCGCGAACGTCGCCGCTTCCAATGGGCGAGTGGCTGAGCCAGCGAGCGCGCCCCGGCTCAACGAGTCCGACTTGGCACTCATCAGCACGCCAGTCGCCCTAGCTCCTGTCCGCGGGCGCACGCTCTCGCCACAGAGAGCCTGCTCCTCCAAGCGCGCCGTGTGTGCGCACACGCGTACGCGTACAGCAGCTACGTGTTAGCAGCGTGAGCGCGGCGAGGACACGCTTAGCTGTGTGTGTGTATATAAAGAGAGGCAAGGCTGGCAACTTTTGCGGCAGATGCTACTACTACTCCCTTACTCCAGCTACTGCTACGTAGCTACTACTGCTGCTACTGCTGCTCCTGCTGCTGCTGCTCAGCGCTTCTTGAAGCACACCGCTGAGAAGCACGGACGCAGGGGAAGTGGAGTTCGGGGGGCGGCGGTGTTGTCATCAGCTTGCGATCTTCACTCCCAAACTACCGGAATCGCCTGCCACGGGCATCATCGTCGTCGGTAAAAGTCGCATCGTCGTTGTGGGCTTCTTGTTGCTGCTGCTGCCGCTGCTGCTTTGAGCGTCTGTGGTTCACGCGCTGCACGAGGAAAGTTGAGGCTGCCGCTCGCTTCGTCTCGGGATTCGCATCTTCCTCGGCGGAGGGGTGAGGGGGGAGGGCAACCTTTGCGAGCGAGAGGAAATGCGCACGGCGAGCTCACTCGGAGTTTCATAAACCCTGCCTACCTTCCACCTCCACGCATTGCCGGCGAACTACTCGCGACCAGCTCGCCGGATTCCAGTTGTGAGCGCGCTGTCACCGTCCCAGCTAACTCGACTCGAACAAAGGAAGACAAAGACGGACCAACAACCCCTTGTTTCATCAACAGCAGCAGCACCACCAGCAGCAGCAGCTACCGAAGGCCCCGTCAATGAAGGTCGCATCCTCACCATAAGCTCGCGCGCGCGCGTAGGGCGCTTCGGAGCGATTCAACGTTCGCCAAACGTCGCGAGGCATTCCCTCTGCGTTCCCCGTGCGTTGATGTGGCGGACAAACCCTGACGACTGCTGCAAAACATCACCGTCGCTAGCGGCGGCGGGAGCCATCGTCGGCATCGCCACACGCCGCGCAAACAACACCGGCTCCCGGCGAGCAGGAGTGGAGGAGCAGAAGAGGGAGGCGCGGGCGATGCCCTGCTCCGGCTGTAGGGCCATGCGCACGCACATGTGCTGGGTGCTACTGCTGCTGGCTCTCGCCAGGGCACCGGCAACGTCTTATGCCGAAGTGCTCGAGCCGATTTACTGGAGTGCCTCTAACAAAATGTGAGTAACACACACACACCGCCTCTCATTCAAACCGTGTGTTTGCGTTCATGTCGGTGGTTGGTGTACGCGCGTTGAATGGCTCGGTGTTATATTCACCTGTGCTGCTGTTGTTGTTGTTGTGGTGCGCTTAGTAGGCAGGGCGGCGTTGTCTCGCCCAGATAAATCTCGCACAGTATTCGAGGCTGCGTTGACAGTTTCGTTGGCGCACGTATTAGACGCTGGCCACAGTCGCCATGCGCGCGGTATTGTTCGATACAGATTACGGGGAGGGCTCGTGGCCGGTAGCAGGTTCCTACCACTTTAGAGCGACCTCAGGTAGCGTCGCACTCGACGGGAGGCGAATTACTTGGTTCACCGGTGATGGGGCTCGTGTGTGCGTGCGGTGTTGCGAGTGTAGCGCCAAACCTAAAGGGAGCGGCAACTTTAGCCCCGAGTCTGTCCTGTGAGTGAAACCAATCAACCTCCGCGGTTTCATTTACAGGGCGAAATATTCAGTGCCACTTTTCAGCCGTCTAGTCCTTCCATAACATCACCGTAAGTTGCATCACTCTGTACAACCACAACCGTTCCGGGCTGTGGTCTTTACAGCAGGGCCAATTGCTCGAAACGTTAGCCCTACCTGTATCTGTATCTCTGTAATAAGGCAATGGTAATTATGATCAGGGTGGTGAGTTATGTGTGCGTTTATATCATTGTTCCCAGTCGCAACCCAGCGAGAGTCGGTCACAATGCAGCGGCAGCGCTTGTGCCGGGCGAGGTGTTCTTCTAGGCCACTTTTTAAGTGTCGAATATCAGTTGGCTGGAGGTCACGGAACAGATCCAGGTGTTATGGGTTAACATCTCAATTAGCTGGCTCCACACAGACACAAGCAGGGCACCTAGTTTTTTCTTTAAGTGTTCCACATCATGGTGAGAACGATGTCTGTGCCAACCCATTGACGCTTTGTTTTCACCCCAGGTCGCTTATTCAAAATAGGCAATGCTGTTTCACGTGTCTCCATCTCCGCATTACACAAAGGATACATAAAGTATACAACAGTAGCACCTATTGTATATACATGTGGTGGGTTCGATCCCGACCCTGACGCCTGTATCTTTAGGAGTTTGCGTGTCTCTCTCCCCGTAGTTGCGTGACATTTTATCTGGGTCCTCCGGGTTTTCCCCTTAACATTTAGAAACATCACGCGTTTAGACTATTTGGCCGCTATACATTTCCACGAGATGAGCCACTTCGTTGAACCATCATTTATGATACCAAGGTCGTTTCTGAAAAAAACAAATAGCTCAGCGAGGCCTTACCTGGTAAAATAAAATAGTTGAGTGTTTAGTTTATGAGCTGAATATTTCTCAAGAGCGCGGTCGTGTGGGCGCGGTTCTATTATTCTTGCGACGCTGTTGCCACCACCGCGTTAATTATCCGACGAAACCAGTCTTCATGCGTCCGATCTCGCTTGATCTTGGAAGCTAAGCAGGGGTGTGTTGAGCCTGGTTAGGAGGTACACTTGGCTGATGTGTCGTTGGCTTAGGGTGACGGGATGGACAAGAGATGGCAGTGCAGCGCAGTAATGGATTCTTGGATATATTCGTAGAGAGCTTTGTGTTTTGTTAACCACTCGTCTGAGTGCGATTTCCACTGCCCATCAAAGCTGCCCTACTAACACTCGCCAAATGCAATTTGACCAACATCCCGATCAATGTTGTACCTTCCTGAAAAAAAATTCCGTCAGGCTTTCTTGGGTAAAAACAAAGGCCATTGATGTTATCACGGTGGCGAGATGTTGTCTACTTCTTTTGGTCGTGGGTTCGATCCCGACCCTGACGCCTGCTGTATATTTGGCGTTATCCCCGTGGTCGCGTGGATTTTTATCCGGGTCCTCCGGTTTTTCCCCTCCACGTCTAGAGTATTTGGCTGCTATACATGTCCACGTGATAAGCCACTTCGTTGAGCTATCATTTGTGGCCAGATCGCTTCTGAAAATGAGCTACAAAGCTCGGCGGGCCTTACCTGGTATACAAAAAAAAGTTTAGTTTTTAGTAAAGTGTGGGTGAAGCGGCGGCGGCGGCTCAGTGGTGTTAGCGCGCTGACACTACATTCCTTGGCGCACCGAGTTTGATTCCCGGACACGGCTCATATCAGTGGCGAGCGATATCTGAACCGGTTTTGGCGCAGACGAGCCTGAATAGAAAAAAAACGACGTCCGCTCACAACAATCCCCACCACCGACAGACACCTGCGTGGGGGAGGCAATCCATCCAGCAGTCGATTGACAAAAGGGCCGTGACAGATTAGTAATTAAAATATAAATTAATCGAATAGCTGCGGCAGGTGCAACCTCGCTCTCACGTAAAAAAACTGCATCTCGCTCGAGTTGCTTTAGCTGCGTGAACAAAGGCACACGAGGTGATCACCTCAATTAGGGTGATTGACTGCACCTGGCAGGGATCGTGCAGGGCCTGACTCGGCTGTACAGTCGCGTATTTTGTACGGAAGGTGGCCGAGAAGTCCAAGTACCCTTCACCCATATGAGTAGAACGATGGCTCCACAAGAAGGGGGTATATGGACTTTCCGTCCACCCCGTGTGTGTGTGTGTAAATGTGGTCTCTCCAGCCCTTCCTTTGATTTTTTTTTTACAAATCTCACCAGGTACTCATTTTAGGACCGAGTCCACCTGATTTTGGCCACACCCTCTCGTCGGTGCGCCGTGCCGGCATGAATAGGAGCTCGCTAACAACGCTTAAAGTTCCCCCAAACAACCTGTGTAGGCTGCGTGGGCGATGTTTCTCTTTGTCTGCGTTGTGTGATGGAGCGGTGGCCGGGCGAGTTCGATTCCTGGGCCACTCTCAACAATCGGCGGCAATGATGCAAACCGGTCCTGGCCCCCTCCGATCGATCGACTCGGCCATAAACGAGAACTGTTGCTGACTTAAAGCTTTCGTGACTGCAGGAATTCATATTGTTGGGTCTTTCGGTAAAGTCACGTAGATAGATAGGTTCAAATCAAATGTTTGTTTGTTATTTTCTTTGAACCTATCTACGTGACTTTACCGAAAGACCCAGGAATATGAGAACTGTTCCCTTTGCGATGTGGGGGAGACAAAGGCGGCCGGGCGTGGTGTTGACCACCCACCCCCTCGTGCGCCCCGTGCCTGCTTTCATATCGGTGCTCGCTAACAGCACTTGCCCCAGCAGTCTGTTCAGGTTCGACGGCGGATGTCTTTGTTGTACACGTGGTACAATAATTAAATCACCTGTAATTCACTACGTGTAGGTAACATGGGAAGGTCAAACGGTTTTGAGAGCAAATGTACAGTGCCGAGAGGCGTAGCCACATCGACTAAATGTCATCCGTGGTTTTGAAATCCCCCCCCCCCACCACCAAAAAAATATATATTTCCGAACCATTTCCAGCAGTTCGCTGCATTATTTATTAATACTGGGGTTCACGCACGGCAGATGCATTGATTGATTTGCAGCACATCACGGAGTCGTCACGTGATTAGCGTCAGTCTGTGGGCCCCCCGATGAAGGCCCTCATTAGAGGAAGGCGTTCGAACCGCTCCTGAGTGCAGGGATGTTCGTCGTGCCTTCCGTCGGGGGGTGAAATGTCCGTGGTGGGTACGTCCGTCTGGGCCAGAGGCCATTAACTTTGACTGCAGCCTTGCACCCATTTGGTTCTCATTGTAAATAAAAAAATCTACAATGTTTATAAACACATAGGGGTTGATGAAACAAAGGAGTTGTACCTACGTGCCCGTGATGAATTTGCGTGTCGAGGATTTACCTTCTACAAAAACCTGGCCACGTCTCGCACCCCCAGAAAGGGCATCTCGCACCCCCAGGGGGTGCAGCGTGCAACCCAAGTGAAGAAGAGCCACTGGTGTACTGTATAGTGAAGTGTATGGTAGTGGTGTATAGTGTAGTGTATAGTGGTGGTGTATAGTAGTGATGTATAGTGTGGACTGTATAGTAGTGGTGTATAGTGTAGTGTATAGTAGTGGTGTATAGTGTAGTGTATAGTAGTGGTGCATAGTGTGGAGTATATAGTGTAGTGTATAGTAGTGGTGCATAGTGCGGAGTGTATAGTGTAGTGTATAGTAGTGGTGTATAGTGTGGAGTGTATAATAGTGTAGTGTGTAGTAGTGTAGTGTGAAGCCTATAGTGTATAGTCGTGTATAGTGTGGAGTGTATAGTGTAGTGCATAGTAGTGGTGTATAGTAGTGGTGTATAGTGTGTAGTGTATAGTAGTGATATATAAATTGTGGAGTGTATAATAGTGTAGTGTGTAGGCTATAGTGTATAGTGTGGAGTGGAAAGCAGTGTGGTGTAGCGTGTATAGTGTGTGGTGTGTAGTGTATAGTGTAGTGCAGTGGTTCTTAACCATTACTGCAGCCCTGCACCCTCCCCCCTTTGGTTCTCAATCGTAAAACAAATCCAGTATGTTTATAAACACAGAGGGGTTTGATGAAACAAAGTAGTTGTATCTTGACTTCAAGCTTTCGTTACTGCAGGAATTCATATTCTTGGGTCTTTCGGTAAAGTCACGTAGATATGTTCGAAGAAAATAGTAGCTTTTTGTTATTACTTTGAATCTATCTCCGTGACTTTACCGAAACGCCCAAGAATACAAAGTAGTTGTACCAACGTGCCGGTGATAAAATTTGTGTTTCGATGATTTATCTTCTAAAGAAATCTTGCCACGTCTCGCACCCCCAGCGGCTTAGGAAGAGCCACTCGATTCGGCATATTTGACACCGATATAGTTGAAGTCGCCATGTGCGTACGGTCCTATAGGATATCGATTTATCCGCAGACCGCACCGACATTGGTTCGACTCCTGACCGTGCTGCATGGGTGCTCCTAACCATTTGAACCTTGCTTCGGCCTCCCCTGGATCGACTCGACCTAAAACACCACTACAATGCGGTGTTGCAGTAGTTGGCATGAATATGTATTGATTATTCTTTGGTTCTTTGTATTGAACTTCTTTCGCACCGT